ACGGCGGAGACTCTGTAAAGAGAAAGAAGCTGTGCTGCTGGAATTAGCGATAAGCGTGTCAGCGGGGAGACGGTCCAGTTGAGTAAAGACTATTGAAGTCATACGGAGGGGCCTCCGAGCGGCTCTGCTCGGCAATGAGCAAACACTTTAAGATGTTCGGCTTCAGAGGCGGCTGGAGACAATGGCTGACGTGCAGCAGAAAAGCCTCGGATCAAACGGCGCTGCAATCTAATTAGCCTTTCAAGCTGCTGTGCGCATCAAGGATTGTGTTTATTGCTCGGAATTATTCAATTATGTACCAGTTATAAAGGCTCAGAGATGACCTCGCCGGAGCACACGAGCTGGCCTACAGTCCCAGATAAATCCTGAGAGGAGCAGGACGTTTGTCCTGCTAAAGCGTAAAAAACGGGGTTTGCCAAGAGTGTTAATGTTTTAAATAGCTTACTTCTGTGTATAGTTCGGAACTGTAGTCATACAAGGGTGGCACCATACTCCCTGCACAGTCACTAGCAGGGCTGGATTTACTCTCTGCTGCCCCAAGGCCAGGTTCCTAGTCCATTATCTTTGCTGCCCTTCCTTTTAAATCCTTCTCTCTTCTCATGCTGGGGGAGAACTTCTGTTTTGCAGCTGACTGCCTTGTCTCTGGAATGGATACATGGTGTCTGTGTGTAGGTTCACAACCTGAGCCAGCACTACAGGAAGAGGCACTCAGCTGCAAAGGGAAGTTCTCCCCCACCATGAGAAGAGATACGGATTTAAAAGGAAGAACAGCAAAGAGAAGGGAAACTACCATGGATTACAGTAAGGCACACATTACAGTATTGGTTTATGTTAAAAAATCTGAGGGTTTAATGTCACTTTAACCGTATTGATATCACAAGTCCAACTCACTGTTTACACGGACCTGAGTGGAGAACGGACGTTCTTCGCTCTGCTCCCCGCTCACCACAGGGGGGTGGCGGGGGGAGGACAGAGCCGGGAGGATGGCGCCTGAAGATCTCCAGCAAGGAAAGAGGTACATGGCAGGGGGCAGAGGGGAGGACGGACCTGCAGTGTTATTACCAGTAATCTTGGTGATATCGCCGAGATCACTTGTAAACGAACGAGCGGCTTCCCCGCTCTACATTTAGCCCTGCTTGCCCAAAGCAGGGCTAAATGTAGAAAACAACTACTCGCCTGTCGCCCGGACTGCACGTCCTGGACGTTGAGATTCTATACCCCTGACGCCCCTCTGCTCCCTGCCATCCCGAGGCTGGGTCTCTGTGGCCTTGTGGGGAATCTGGCCCTGGTTACTAAGGATCTGGGGTCAGATGGGACCCCACTGAGGGAAAATGGCGTATCTCAGCAGGTTAAAGTGTCTGTAAAATGTAACAATTAACTTCTCAAATTTGCTCCATTAAATAAATTATTGAAAGCGTTTTGTTTTATCCTTTGACGCTGCCAGAAAAATCCAGTGAGCTCCTAACATACCTCCCAACTGTCCCTCATTGGAAACAAAACTCTGTCCCTCTTTTCTCCTCAGTTGTCCCTCTTTGTACAGATATCTATGAAATCTTCTGTAGTCCTTACACACTTCCTATCTTAGGGTGACAACGCTGTTCCTGTTTTTGGGATTAGATACAGTTTATCCTTTTTTTAAGGAATAAGGTATGCCGCCGGGTCCCCTCCTCTCTCCTGATACTGTCGGGCGTTCGGTCCATGACCGAGCGCCCGACTTTTCAGAGGGGGGTGACACCAAAATGACGCAGTCACCCCTCCAATGGTGGCACCCGGGTGCGGGCCGCACCCCCCTTGTGATGCCACTGCTTCCAACCCTTGGCCTGTGGTGCTTGAAGCACAGCAGACCAGGGATTATGACTTGGGATCAGCACCCAGTCTCAACCCCCATGAAGAGGTCCTTGGTGAATAACACTTGATTCATAGACTCAGCACCTTTGGACATCCCACATCACCTGCTCTCATACAGAATAATCCTCTTACTTTTAAGAATTTTGTTCCACAGTGATCCTGATCTAGCTCCCATTTTACCTCAGTGTGGTTCCTCCTCTGCAGATCCAGCTCCCAGGTATACCTTGTGCTGTGGTGCTTTGCCCTACCCAAAGCCAGCTGATGACCTGCAATTCTCAGGTACACCTACTGCCTTTCATTGGCTATCCTTTACAGCAGTGGTTCTCAACTCGTGGGTCGCGACACCCTCTGCAGTGGGTCGCGGCGTATGTAGCTAAAGGGTCTAAAATTGATGTTGTCGCCATTCTGACACCAACAGTTTGGTGAAGGCCCTTGACTGTGGCCCTGTGTACAAAGCCAGCTCCATAAAGACATAGTATGACCAGCTTGGGGAGGAGAAACTTAAGTGACCAGCACAAAGCCCTCACCTCAACACTACTGGTCAAATTGTGGGAAAGATTGAAAGTAAAGGTCTTCTACATCAGTACCTAACCTCACAAATACTCTTTTGCTAATGGACACAAATTCCCACAGACCACACTCCAATGTAATGTGAAAAACCTTCCCAGAAGAGTGTAGGCTGTTATAGAGAGAAGGGGGGGGGGGATGAAACATCAATGCCCATGGTTTTAAGATGTGATGCCCATTTAGGCTTGATGGTCAGGTGTTCAAAGACTTTTGGCCATATAGTGCATCTTCTTCCATTTTGTATCTTCAGTATCATTAAAGATTGATTTGTGCAGCCCTTGGAATTCTGCGTGATTAAATGCTTTCCACTCCCCGTGAGACCAAAAAAAGTACTAAACACTTTCCTGGCTCCAGCAAGGAGATTATTCACTATGGGAAAAACATAGCCCGGGGTCTATTTGCATTTAATTAATAGAAAAAAGGTTAATTGTGCTATTAGTTATGTGGTTATCTTCAGCGGGATAATGGAGAGGAATGCTAATCGATGGCAGTGCTGAGTGTGTTTCAGAGTCTTGCTGAAGCATCTCTAATTCTGCAGGGAAAGGTAGACATTAGCGTTTTAAGGGCAAACTGTCTTTGCACCCAGTGTTTCATTGGCAATATCCTGCTGCAATTTCTTGGAGGGTCCACATGTGCCTAAGGTTGTCTATACACATTAGAATCTGCCTGACATCTGTAAGAGCCCATTTACACTCTAGCGGTACACTAGGCACCTAGCATTCATTAATTAGCATCCCAAGGCACCTACCAGGGCCTGTGCTTTGCAGCTCAGTGCAGCAGAAGATAGGGCAATGCCATGCCTGTAGCAACCACTTACAATTCTTGTTTGATTTTGTTTCATATAATAACAGAAGAAACTTAGTTGATGGTTACTGGAAAAACTTCTGTTTTGTTGGCATTTTCTTTTCTGCTTAACACTAACTAAAGCCTCGACTTTTCTGATTTTGGGTTTATGATTTGCCCCCTGGCATAATGTTGATATAATTCAGGGTAGTGAATTAAAATGTAAGGAGGTCCGGTGAACAACATTTTCATCGGGCCAAGTCCAAGTCGCAGTCCGGACAGAACTGTCTCTCAGCCTATGTCCGGACCATGGACTGCCATTTAGTGACCCCTGTCCTATACCATTCTCTTTCCCCTCACTTAACATCGACAGTCATGTTGTCACTTCTGCCCTCTTCACCACTACATGCAGAAGATGCTCTCCTGTTGCCACTGTAACTGGCAGCATCGCTGTTGTCATAGTGACAGAACCAGGACCCACCTTATACTTGGATCCAGCCTTGTCCTTCAGGGTGCAGATCTTCAAGTAGATAGGCCCCCCGCTGGCCGGACCCCTTCTTCCCCTACTGTCTCCCCACAGAGAGAACAGCACGAGTGCCCTTCCCTCCGTTTTTCATGCAAAATGTAGACAGCATCCGGTTAATGACCTCCACCTCACAATGCAGCCTCATGGCTCCCCAGTACCCTGTCTAGTGGTCCTACTCCTCCACGGGTGATAAGAGAGCGGGCCAGACAAATGCCCCTCTATCCGGCCTCTTCTCTAACAAATTTGTGTTCCCGCTCTGTACAGATGGCAGGGGGGGTACTCAGAGGTCAGTGTATCACCTGTCCTGCAGCCGTAACCCAGTGCGGGTCGGCAAATGCGGTCTGGACAAAGCCACCACTTGGCCCAAACTAAAAACTCTAACACTAAACTCAGGAGGTAAATTTTAAAAATGCATTCAGGGACCTTAACTATTACCAAAACTGTATCTTATTTGTGTATCACTCGGCTGTAGATCCTAAAATCATCTGGTGCTGACACTGTCCTTCCTTCTGGAGGGTGGCTACTTTTGTTCCCCATGGTCCCTGTACTTTTTGTAAAGTAGGCAGGGAAAGGCAAGTTGCACAGGTCGCATGACTATCTGCAGTCCCACAGTGGGAACACATATTGCTGCTTTAGTGACAACACTATTGCTGCTTTATAAGCAGTAGGTGAGCATTGTCACCACAAAAGAGGAAGTCAGAAGGCAAAAAAATGAAGTCAATTAAATACAATGGATTTTCTAGATTTAAATTAAACAATAATTGTTAATGTCCTTTTAATGCTATCAGGGGCATGGGGAAACACGTGTATAATTCAGGGCCAATTTAGATTTACTGCAATAATGTATGTACCATGGTGCATTGTCTTTCCTTTTAAAAAGGTACCCCAATGCACTAGTCCAATGCAACCCCCAATGCCGGAGCATTGCAGCTCCCCGTAACATGTTAACACTGACACCGTAGTGCGCTGCTTCAAAAAACATGGTGCATTTCCAATTTGTGTTGTGGTTTGTTGGCAGCTCAAATGAACGAGCTGCCTTAATTATTGGCAGTGCATGTTAATGGACCTGTTGATGCATGAGAACGTGTGTTACCTTACCAATGCAGCACATAGATCTGAATGGGCCTTTAAGGATTTGGCGTTACTTACACTAAGTATCCACTCACACTCACATGTCACCTGTCAGGGACTACCCCAGAGGAGATATGGTGGGGGGAATTACATGAATGAGACACCGGGCTTTCAGGATGGAGGTGAGTCTATGGCGATGACTTACCTGCAGTTGGCTGCAGAGCTGGATCAAAGTTTTTTCAGGCACCAATTCCTCTAGGAAAAAAAAAGAGACCGTGTCAGTAACCATCTAATCCCTGTAGGTATGATGTGATAATACATGGTTCATCCCTAGTAGAAGGCATGAGACCGCCTTTTAGGGACTGTAAGAGATATAAAGATTGCTGCAAAGTCAGAGGTAAAAATCCTACGACCAGAGTTAACGAGAGGAAGAAAGTGGCATTTACAGGAACTGGCTGCTCCAATTCATCTCTTATGGGTAGCCACTGGTCCTTTATTCATCGGGTATTCTCTCATGCCAGCCATAGGTTAGGTATGTTGGAATTAGGCACATGCCATATGCTGGTCTAAATAGGAGCTTTTAGCAGGTGGCAAAAATTAATTATGTTTAGTGCCCCAACAAAAAGGTTCCAGCTGCTCCGTGTGAGCTAAAAATCTTAACTGCTACCCTGGTTCATCTTTGCATGCCCCCATGTCTCAGGCTTTAATCTTACACTTGGTACACCTCTGCCTAAATGCTTCCTCCTCAGGCCTGTGTCTTACGTTCCATTCTATCCAATCAAATCTTCCAGGGGTCCCTGATGAAGACTAGTACTCAGAATCTGCACCTTGTAAAAGCCAACATCTACCATTGGTGATACAGAGGGTCCACATTGACCTATGATGAGAAACAATAAGGCAGGTTAACCCGTTTGGTGGATGGACGCCAAATGTTAAACTGAAATTCATGATAATTTGGCAACACACACTGCTCATGACACAACAGTCTATACACTGTGGCTTTCACCTGCCCTTTCCTCCCCAAAAGAACCACCCTCTGCTATCTTTCATATTCCCAGTGAGGTGCTCCTGTGTGCAAGTGAGCCCCTTCCTGAACTGGCCTGGTGCATGGCCACAACAGGGACTTGACACGCCTTATGAGGCATGGCAGCTCTGCTTCGCAGTTTGCAGTGTGCCTGCCACCCCCTTTCCAGCCAGAGCCAACCAGGTTGCTAAGAGCCAGACAGGTAGAAGTGTAAGGGCCATACACATCTCTTGCCAGTGTCCCGCTGAGCTCCTGGCAACCAGTTATGTCACTAGTTGCCTTGGGCTTGACGGGACACTGGACCTCCCTGATGTCACTGGTTACCAGTAGCTGGCCGGGAATGCTGGTCCTCAGCCCCCCTCCTCCAGCTGCCTCAAACAAAAAGACTAGGGACACCCCTGCCTCCACCCATGCTAAAGAGTATGAATTAAGGAGTTTCCACTGCTGGCTACTGCATTCAGGTGGATGTGCCCTGAAATTTTAAATCAAAGTCTGTTGAGCCAGGGCAACCCATGGCTCGAATGTTGGCCATTTGAGAAGCTGATATTCAAGCCATCTATGGCCAGCATTATATGATGATATGCAGCCACTCCCAGTGAAATCACAGCCCATGAAAAATACTATTATTCCTTTCTAGGTCCTACCCAAGGTCAGCAGTTCTAATGTGACCGGAGGTCAGAAAGTGAAGGCAAGGAGCCCATGGTGCAGTACAAGGAAAGAGCTTGGAGAAGACAAGAACTGGTAAGGGATCCCTTGGACATCTTCATTTTTCTAAAGGAGCAAATGGATTCTCTGGGACATCAGGAATCAGTGGCAATGGTATGTTGGCTGCCATTTGCTCCACTCTGGGGAAAAAATACGATCTGCTCATTATGATCCCATAAACCTAATTGCTACTTATGTATCCATTAGGAATTCACTTACCTATGTCAACTTGGGATAAATTTGGTATTTCCTTTAGAAGGCTGGAATAGTAAGAGGAAAGCCCATTGTGTGCAGACAGCAGCAGCTGGCAAAGATCTCTGTGCCACTTGTAGGCATGTTGGATGCATGTCTCTGATGGCACATAGCAATTTCCCTGCAAGGCAAAACATAAAATCAAATGCAGTGACTCAACAGCTGTATTAAAGTATATATAAAGTAATGTCTTTTAGTTGTGGCTAGAACAGGGAAAGGTTAAAGCTGAAGTCTGGGAAAGTCCAATATTGTGCTCCTACAAGATCCATGTGTATTCTTCTTGAGATTTGTGTATTTTTTCCAGATCTGTGCAGTAATCCAGTGGGGGGAGTTTCCTGTAATAAAGACCGGTTGTTGCGGCTCTCTCCCCTTGTGCAGGGTGACTGGTCTAGTCTACCCCCCACATGTAGTTATCTGCAGGCAGCCTGTAGCGGTTGGAGCCTACTTGGCCCCTCCCACATCTTTGCTCTCTCTTACTTTGTGCAGAGTGGTCTTGTTTCCGCCCCCCTCCTTTAGTTTTATGCAGCAAGCCTGTAGTGGGTGTTTTTTTCCGTCTCCAATTGAGGAGGGTTTTCCTTATTTCCTGGCCCAGAGATGCAAAGTAAGTGAGAGGAAATTTCTAGGTGAAAAGAATTCCCCTCTTAGACAGTTGTCACAAAAACAAATTTCCTTATTGAAAGAGTTCCCTCTATTCCTGTTCTGGTGACAACAGTAAAATGTTGGGTTTTGCCCATCACTGGTGAACATTAAAACAGTGGTCACCAGACCAACACAGAGGATGAGCAGACAGCCAGGGCAACTGATAGGGGGATACAGCCAGCCCTCCCGTACCGGGCCTTGGGCCCTATAAAGACAGTAGGGGAGCCAGGAAAGGGCTTCCCACACAGCTTCCCCCAACAGGAACTCCCTGCAATGCCTGCGCAGCTTCGTGGAAGTGATCAGGCGGAGCAAGTGATTGGTGCAAGTGCAAGTGATCAGGCGGCCGTACACCTAGATCACTTGTACAGCTCCTGAAGTATATCTGCAGTCTCTGGCCATCTTCTGTTGCATGTCTGAAGTCTCTGGCTACTTTCTGTAGAATGATATTTACTGAATATTATGTGTGGCCCTCTGGTGATGTCAAGGGCTGCAGTTGAGGTCCCTACAGCAAGTTGACCACCACTGGTGAACATACTTAAAAACAAAATTGCTTTAACCCCTTCGTGACGGGAGACGTACAGTGTACGTCCCGTCACAAAGTAGCTATATGACTGGCCACGTACACTGTACGTGCCGAGTTATATTAGCCTCTGTAATGCTGGTAACTGCTGATTCTCAGCAGTTCCAGTCATTAATTAATGCCTCACTATTGAGTAATCTTTAAAAAAAAAAAAATTCTAAAAATAATAATAATAATCAAAACTTGCTGCTGTGGAAGAATCACACAGCAAAAATGTAAAAAGTGTGTCAGTCATTTAGGAACAGAAACTAAAAACTAGCTCAGTCATGAAGGGGTTAAACAAAATCAGCAAATGGTTAAGACTCTCTCTCTTTTTTTCTTGCTCCGTGTCCCCATTGATAAGAAATTTAACATTTACATTCTATGCCCCAGTGAAAAGGCGTCAGTGGGAAAGGAAGTGATGGGAAATGCACAACAACAAAAAATTAATCTTCTGCTATTACGGGAAAAGGTTACAGCATTTTAAAATTTGTATTACTGTCTATGCTTTACTATCCAGGTCATCTGTTGTCCTGATTTCACTTGGACAGACAGTGAAATAAATTCTTCCCTGGTAAGCCAAACATATAAAATTATTTTCATTTAAATAATGGGCATTTTCTGGCACTAAGCTTTATTATGTTTAAATCAATTTTTAAACAAATTGAAATATGAACAGTGTTAGATTCAACCCAAAATTTTAATGGTTTTGGATATCCCAAACCAAATGCAATGTTTTGGCTAGTTTGGGGCTCCCAAACAGCTGCCTTATATCTTCTTCTGCTGCTGCCTGGGCACCATTATCTTGACTACCAGGGCCACCAGATTACACCCTTCCATTTTCCTATCTCTGGTAGAATATTTTTAGGACTGCTGTTTTTTTTTATTCCCCCAGACTATGACCCAGTACTTTAATTCTTTTGGCCCTATCATTTAATCAAGCAGAGCTGGCAGGAGCTTCCCAAACCATTGTACACAATTTTGCATCACCTCCTGCTCTGCAATAGACACTGTAGCCTGCTTTGTTTTCCTATTGACTTCAATAGAACTTCTTCCAAATTTCCTAAGCTTGCTTGTTGTTAAAAAGTTTGACTGACCCACAACTAATCAAACTTTTCAGAAATACACTCATCTCTATTTACAATGCAATTGAGTTGATTTACTAAATCAATAGAAACTGTTCACAGTTGAGCAGTCCCTATGTCGTCAGTACATACACCCTACTTTGTGAGGCCTCTGCTCCATTTCTTACCTCTGGAGATGGGGGTTTGCAGTACGCAGCTCCAAAGACCAGATTCTCGAGTGAAACGCTCGTCTGGTCTGTCGCCAGTTCTTGGTTGCTTTTTCCTAACCAGGAGCCTCTTACCGGACGAACAAAACTAGAAGACGATATAAGCATCAGGAAATAAGGATTGAAGACAATGAAACAATAACATATAGTTGTGTGCTAGAACCTGGCTTACATTGGCAATACAATTCTTTATTAAATGTGAAATGTAAAGATCCAGGTTGCTTTTATGAATTAATTAAAAAGGCATCAAACTTGGTTTTACACTAAATTAGCTCTAGCTGTTAAGATTGTAGAAAGAACTCGGTTACTTATGTGGTAGGTTTGGTGCAATCATCTTGACAAAAAGTACTTTGAGGACTGCTTCATGCCCCACCATCCCTTTTGCTGTTTGGTCACAATGCAATTATATATATATATA